GCTAAGGCTCTGATATGGGAAAATACCCCGGGACACTTAAGGATTAGCAAGCATGCCAATGTTGCTGGAATACTGTGAGTGAGAGGGACCATGCTGAGAAATGAGGTCATATGAGACTAAATGACAGAGCATTTAGAGTCTCCTAAGCCACTGAGGATGACTTGTACACCAAGTGAAACAGAAACACACTGGAGGATTTGGAACAGAACCACCAGGATGACAAAGATGGAGAGAAGTGTAGGAAGAGAGAAACCAGTTTATGAGACTTTGGGGATCATCCTGGCAGAGACAGGATGATAGTTGCATTGAGAGTGGTTGTGGAGGAGGTGGTAAGGAATGAGGCAGTGCTAATAGGATTTTCTGACAGATTGGATGTGGGCTGCAAAGGAAAGAGGGAAGTCAAGGTCATTTTCAAGTTTGAAAAGTTAACAACTGAAGTTTGGAGTTGTCATCAACCGAGATGGGAATGACTTGGAAGAAATCATTTGCAGAGGCTAGGAGGAACTATCTGGTGGAAAATCAAGAGTTGAGTTTGAACATGTCTGTTTAAGATATCATTAAGGCAATTTGTATCATTTCTACAAGGGAATTGTTGAGTTTGATTCTGAAGACTGTGAACTCCTTGAAGAACAGAATTTTGCCTTTTCTTTAACACTTAGGACAGGTTCTGTTGCAGAGTAGAAATTCAACAAATATGTGTTGAATGGATAAATGAATGAGTGAATGAATGAATATCATCCCAAGTTATTAGCAAATTAGTGAAAGACAGAGTCAGATTTAAAATCTCAGTGCAAGGCTAAGGTGTATGTAGTTCAAGGTTACAGGGCTTTCCTAGCATGCAAGAGGTTCTGGGTTTCATGCCCACCACCACAAATAAAATAAAATAAAATAAAATCTCAGTGCTATTATTCCAGAGTTATTTTTGGTATGTTATGTAAGAATAAAGAAATTTAAATGTTGCAATTTATATTTGATGTCATTAAAATATATTAAATATTTCAACTCATTTAATATTTTACTGATTTATTGCATAAAATTTATTTTCATTGGGAAACTATGGAAGTTGCATTAACTTTTGAGGAAGACTAAAACTTTAAAACAATAATTTGTTTATTATTCCCACTTGATTTAATTTCCTAAGCCCAACCATGGAAAGAATTTGATATAATGAACAATATTTTTTACAAGTTTTTGTGCCTATAGCACTAGTTTTTTATTGTAGAGTAATAAAATGTGATTTAAATCACCAGAAAATGTACCTGATATAGTCAATGACCCAAAAAACAACATCAAACAAAGTAACCTCATTGGAAATAATCTCATTAAAGATATTTCTGCTTGCTCTCATTAAATGAATCATATATTGAGAATACACTGTTTATATTTAGAGAATGCAATATAGCGCCTTCTAGTTTTGGCTTCTTTCTTCTGCCTATGGAAATAGAGAACATCTCAAAAGTAGTTTTCCCACATCCATGCTTTTGATTTCCATGGTTTCAGTTACCTGGGTCAACCATGGTCTGAAAATATGAAATGGTAAGTTCCAGAAATAAATAATTCATAACTTATAAATCACGTGCTATTCTGAGTAGAATGCTGAAACCTCACACTCTCATTTGTTCTCATCCACAATGTGAATCATGCCTTTGTCCAGCGTATCCACGCTTTATACACTACCCTGTTAGTCATTTGTACTCTTTGTGGTTTGGCAGTGCTTGTGTTCAGTTAACCCTTATTTTACTTAATAATGGTCTCAAAGTGCTAGAGTGGTGATGCTGGCAATCTGGATATGCTGAAGAGGAGCTGTCAAGTGCTTTCTCTAAGTGAAAAGGTGAATGTTCTCATTAAGAAAGAAAAAAAAATTGTATGCTGAGGTCACAAGGTCTGTGTCATTCACCTTACTGTTCACCCCATCAAGTAAGCATTATGTCATCTCAAATTAGCACAAGAAAAAAAAAGGAGTACAGTATAATAAGACATTTTGAGAGACGATAAATAACATTTATTATAGTATTTTGTTATAATAGTTCTATTTTATATTAGTTGTTAATCCTGTCTTGCTATGCCTAATGTATAAATTAAACTTTATCATAGTTATGTATGTTTATGAAAAATCAAAATATATCTAGGGCTTGAGGCCATCCATCATCTTAGCTATTCACTTGGAGCCTTGGAACTTACCCATCATAGATAAGGAGGAACTATTAGAGCTTTTAACTGCTACCTGTTATATCTGTTGGCAGTTGAATAGCCTTACCTCTGACAACTTCCCAAACATGTCCCTTTTCACCAGTTCCAAATATTTAAGTTCTTGCAATTGCAAAAGTTGTCTATTTCCTTGAATCTGTCATGCTGTTTCACCATTTCCAGTCTCTGTACCTGCTGCTCTTTTAAACACCCTCCCATACTTATTTTCCTGATCAACCATGCTGCTCTGGTGTCCCTCCTACGGAAGTTCTTCCCTAATCTCCCTCTCACAGACTGTCCTAATCATCTGCAAAGAACTGGCACATTTTACATGCATCATTCTCTATTACAGTTGCATGTTTGTCTCCTCCATAAGACTGTAGATTTTCAAGGGTAAGATTCATACATTTTTCATTTCTATTTTTATATTCCATTCCTGGCTCTCTAGTACATGAGCAATCTGTGTCTGTTAGGATGAACTCCCACCTACAGATGCATTTTCTCCCAGAATTTTAATCTTTTTTCTAAAGTTTCAAAGACCTTATAAATCATATCTCTGAGGTAGAAGTAGAGGGATCACAAAATGTTAAAACTGAAATATACTTTTGCAATTGGCTGGTGTTCCTTCATTTTAGGAAAGGAGTGGGAAAAGATATTCAGATATTAGTATCAATGCTTCTAATGTTATGCTTATTATTATTTTTTTTAATGTTAGACCTAATCTTCACAGCAACCTTGGAATTAACAGTTATGACTGAATGGAACAGATGAGAAAACTGGACCCAAGGTCAAGTAGTGATTTAGAGCCTGTTTTTCAACTCGTATACCTACGTTCTTTGCAACATTACACAATGAAAGGCCATCATGATCTCTGAAAATTGTTAGAAGTCACCAAAATGAGGCATTATGGAAGAAAAATGCTATGCAGGAAGAGAAAAAAGGAGGTCTTCATGTATGCTCCCTGGGATACCTGGCACTGGCTTTTGGCAAAAATGGTAACAGAATGGATTGCCAAAGAGCCCGTGTGCCCTGAATATACCAGCATTTTGATGCAATACACATGAACCTGAGTAATGATATGACTTCTAGGAGAAAAATAAAATCTCATATTCTTTCAAACTTTTCACAGCAACAACAAGGGGACCATACAACGACCAGTGGAGTGTTCGTGTCACAAGTGCTCTTCTTCAGAGAACTTAAATTGTATCCTGTCTTGATGGACAGAAGCCTGAAGTTCCATTGTAAAGGGATGGGCAGTTACACTTCTGTTGGACACAGAGGTAGACACACCTCACATTAACTGAGGGTCCAGGTGTCCATTCACATTCTCAACAACTTTGTTACCTGCAGATACCTAGAAAACCACACGTAAACAGCCGAAATGCTAAATCTCGGTCAAGGCCACCAAACAGGAAGATATCTACTTCAAAAAATTAACTGAGAGTTATTTTTTAACATCCTATGGGATGCTTCTCTGAAATTGACTTAAAATTAAAAAGATTAAATTATATACCTGAAAATAGAGAACATCAGAGTTTCTAATCTTTATCTGGGACCAGTTTCACAGCCAGAAAATTTATAGTCAAATACCCTGTCCATGACGTATAATCAGTTTGAGGACAGCAACTAGAATTGCACTTCCAGTACTGGTTCATATAAAACCCACTTTATAAAACACAAACAAAATCATTACACATTTGAAAAGACTTTGCACCCTTTGCCTGTCATGGTCACAAATTTCTAGTTTTGTGAAGAAAGTCAACAGTATGCTTCCTTCAGACCATTCACTTCTCAATCCACTCTTGGCCAAGACTTAACTCTGCTCTCAATAAAGTCAACAAAAAAGGGAAAACAAAAACAAAATTTAAAAAAACCTTACTTCCAACCGCAGAAACATAGAACATTTGAAGGTAAACACATGCATATGTCTAGATACACATAAAATTGATCAAATAAATAAGTGAAGGCCTCAGTGTGTCCAAACCCATGGAGAACAAAGCAGAATCTGTATAGCTCATATACTACAGCAGCAAATGACATCTAGTACTCCTGAATTACTTGTTGGATTGCATAAAGCATTGTATTTATTTTTTTTATTATTAAAGTAATTGAGATTTTTGTCTGCTTTCTAAAGGGTGCTAAAGTCTAGGCTTTTCATCAGCAGTTATTTTATACACACACACACACCAAAAAAAAACACATAAATACACTTTTTATAGGTGGCCATATGCTTATTGACCAAAGGATTCCCAGGGAGTTTTGTGAAAATTAGGGAAAATTGACACCTATTATTCTTCAATTTACTTGCAAACAAAATTTTCTAAGTCACAGCCAACTGCCTTTTATTCTTCAGGTCTTATGTTAAAAATTCTCTCCTCCTCAGATAAGGCCTTCCAATTCAAGGAAAGACACCTGCTGTGTCTTTCAGTTTGCTGTCCCCTTGCTCCCTGGCATTCTTCTCTCAGGGCTATTGTCCTTCCTCCACTAAACTGTGAGCAAAAGCAGGACTCTTTCTTTTCTTTTCTTTTCTTTCTTTTTTTCCTTTTTTTTTTTAAAGTCACCCAAGTGCCTGGTACAGAATCCACTCAATATGAAAAAGCCAAATGGATAAATAAATAAATGCAGGTAATTGCAAACAGTAAGAAAACGAAATGGTTTCTAACTTACACATAATGTAAAAACTGTATTTAGCAGTCTATAATAAACTATGTTTGCCAAAATTTGATCTGGGCTCTCTATTCCTTTCTGTATTTTCCACACTCCATCACTATCCTTATATGGAAAAAAAAAAAAAACAGAAATGAAAAGCACACCTTAATTGTGGTTGTATGTGCTCCAGGATATTCTTTTTCTTCCAGCGTTGACCATCTTTCTATAAATTTAGACACCAAGGAATCATCATAATCCACGATCTGAAATCCAGAGACATTTGCGCCTCCAAACTGAATTTTTAGTAGGTCTCCATCAGTAAATCCCTAGACATAAAATATTTGTATGTCATTCAAGTAGAACTTAACATTCCCCAAATAATTCTACACATTTGGCTTTACATATTTCAAAGAACATGTGAGAGATAAAAAGTCTCCAAGAACATTTTCACGCATTTATCAGTCAAAGCTCCTCACCAGCGCCTAACATCATGTAGATATCACAGTGGGTCCTTATAATCAATCCATGCTTAATGATTGGCTGTCTCATAAAGTACTGAAGAGTCCTTGTATAAAGGTTCTCCATTTTATTGAGAGACCATCAATTAATAAGGAATGAGCTTTATTTATTGAATCTAAACAGAACACTGCCATGTAGTTACAGACACTAACATTAATCTAGTTCAAGACTGCAACCTTGTGGTCAAGTCATTCCTATTTAAATTGATCATTCCCTGGCCTGGGATAAACATCTTTAAAATGAGAATGGAAGGTACATGCCCAGTCAGTGTTCTCAATTGCTTAATTGAAAATACACAATTTCAAATTAAGCCTGAAACTAATTTTATAGAACATATTAAATTTTATAAGATCAATGTCTATTACATTATTAGAATGAATTCATTCATTACTAAAACTATCATGTGGTATTTTCATTGATTTCAAATATTGTGCTGTCATGAATTTTAACTCAAATTGATTATCAAAAATAAAAATCCCAATTTCAATATGTCACAATTATAAATATATCACATTTTATAATTATAAAATATTCATATTTTAAGATATTTTCATATTTAAAATGATTCGTTATTGTGCATAATGATTAAGAGTGCCATGAATTAAGTGTGGGCCCTCATACTGAAAAAAATATAATCTTTTCATTGTTGTTGATATGAAAATATATACATATAGAGAGAGTTACACTAAAACATACATAACAAAATCAGAGATTCTCTGTTCCATCCCACCGATGGTCCAGTTAAGCTGCTTCAAAGCCTTCAATTTCAATGACTTCATTTTCACTAATTTACCTGTTTTTTATGAATTACACACTTTCACTGTTCTTTCTTAATTGCTTAATTTTAGATATTTTTGTTGAGTTTTTATTTATTTTAAATGAGTATATAACCCAATTATGTAACCAAACCATTTCTCTCTTCACCCATTTTGATCGATGTTTTCTGTTTACATATTTTTAACTCTGTTATTAGTAGCAAAATCAAATAAGGTACTAGGATTGCATTTTTCTCCATGAGCATTATTTCACCTGAATGTTAATCACTGTCTCTTCACTACTAGAGATCTCTATATGCCTAACCTTAGGTTTTTTCAGTTGCTTCATGAAAACATTTCATATACATATAAGAAAGGCTTCTTTACAAAAGAAATATTCAAACATCAGGAAATCTATTTCAGTGTAATCCTAAATATTTAATTTCTAGGACTCCTCCTTCCTGCTGCAGGTTGAATTGGTTCCTCTTTCCTTCTACTCTACAGCTATTACTACCCTAATGTGTTCCTTCACTTCTTTTTTTGAATAAATCTCATTTCATGGGTCATATTTCCTTTTTCACTTTATTCTTTCTTTCTATTAGATTCCCTCATAATTTCCTAAAACACATTGGAAGTAAAGTTTTTGAGACATTTTATATTTGAAATGATTTTACCCTGACACTTGATTAGCATTTTGGCTCAAAATAGGATTTTGAGTTGAACACTCTATGACTTAAATGTATCAAACCGTTGACTTTCATTTTCCATTGTTGCTCTCAAAAAAAGTCATTTCTAATTTTTTTTTCCATGTGACCTGCTTCTCACTCCTATCTACTTCCCTGTTACTGCCCCAAACTTCTAAAATCTCTTAATCTCCGAAATTCCATGATGATATTCTCATTTTCATTCTTTCTTCTATTATTGTATTATTTATTCAGTGGTGAGATTTGTGTCATTTGGACATTTTTCAAAACAATTCTTTAATAATTCCCTTCCCCTATTTTTACTCTTCTCTATTTCTACAAAGTCTATTATTAAAATATTGTAACCCTTAAATTAAATGTCTAAGTTTCTTTCAGGTTTTCTTTTTTTCCCATTTTATATCTTATTGTCCTTTCGTCATATAATCTAGAAGTTTTTCTCAATTTTATTTTCCGATTAATGTAATTTAATTTTCTATTGTAAGAAATAAAACAAATTAGCTTTCCAATGATTTTATTCTTCATTTTATTTTTTATGGGTTAAAATTATTTTCCTTTATTTTGCAGTAGATATTAACTCTGATTTTAAACATTTTTCCGATGTCAACTGCCCAGTTTCTGTTTGTTTGCATTGCATCCTTCATGGCAAATTTTTTTTTTTTTCTCAAATGACTAGTCATGCTTGATTATTTCAGAATAAGACACTGAGACATTTCTTGGAATTTCTATATATGTGAGTGAGGCTCATTAGCAAGTATGCTTTGCTATAAGATAGATTGTTGGGTGGGGTGGACAGAAGTGTGTCCTGCCTATATCTGCTCCATTTGATTTCTTCAGATCATCCACTCTCCACATAAATGAATATATGTGACCAAATTCTAGAGAAAGGATGGCAGATGAGGGACGTGAGGTTCAGAATTCCACTTGTAGACTTTCATTTAGTTGTCTTGTGTTTTTAGCACATGCTTCTTGAGTCTCACAAAATTCCTCCGATTCATATTTTTTATAAAGTATATTAACAAGAGAGAAGTGGGGGTTTAGGGACCAAGGCTTTGTGGATACTTCTTTATTTGGGTTGTATGGAATGAGTACTTGGGGTATCCAATCATTCCTGCAAGGGACTTTGAATCAAATACTTTGTCCCAGGTGTTCCTAATAATTCCTGGTTTCCTGGAATCCACCTCAGAGGTGGAACTGATATGTCCGTCCTCTGTGGGCCTTTACTGCTTTGGCCAATGGTTCACATACATAACTTTTCCCAAATAATTGGCCTTGGAATGGAAACCACTCCCTCCTTGGTTAAGGCGAAAACTAACTGGAATCTGGTACAAAGGCCCCTGTCTCTGCCTTGTCTCCTGTTGGAAGAAGGTGATACAATTTATGCAACAGAAAGTTCTAGGGGATCTGGGCTCAGACAGAGCCTAAACCTGACCTTAACCACATTCCTGTTTAGCTCTCTTTCCTTCTCTGCCTTGCCTCCTTCACTCACCTACACATTGCTCCTGAAAGCTCTTCCTCAATAATGTGCATATGAATACCCTTGTTGGGCTTTATAAGCCAGTAAATGCTGCCTCTTTTTAGCTATCCCACTCTGCAGGCACTTTTTTTTTTTTTTTTTCAGTTTTATCTTCCTTCTGTTAGCTATCCCACATATTCATCCTTCATCTGCTCCATGTCCTAAAAAATTTTGTTGACTTCTGGCTTAATTGGTATTTTCTTTCCTATTTTCTCCTTCCTTTCCATTAGGTTTTAAAACATCTTTATCCTTTTACTGTTGTTTTACTGTAATTTTACTACGAACAATAAGTTCAGTTGCAAATTTGGGGTAAGATTTTGAGCTGGCTTTCGTGAGGATCTGCATTTCCCTAAGTTTTCTTCTTTCCTGTCTAAAACTTTTCAATTTATGAGGAGCAGAAGGAAAAGGAGATAATGAATGACAGCAGAGAAGCCAAGGCACAATCTGAATTGTAGAGGCATTATTTTTAAAATAATTAAGTTAAATCCATGACAGCAGAAGGGATGAGGAAAGGAAAACAGGATGCCCTGATGCGCACTTTATGTACTAGCTAGCCTTTCAATTGCTCTTTCAGGAATTTATTCTCAGACACTGTTCCAGAAGCCCAATCAAGGATTCAGCAATTGCTGAAGAAATTCATCAATAATGATATCTGAAGTTTTTGAAGGTTTTTTTTTTTGTTTTGTTTTGCTTTGTTTTTATCTTTTATAACCAATTCCTCTAACACATTTCAGACACTCTCCAGACACTGGCTGGGGGGAAAAGGACATTCTCAATCAAGAATTTGGATGAAAGCCATTCACCTTTGGATGGCATTCTTTAATTTTAAATGTCAGTGGAATTTCTGAGGATGCCCTAAATTCTCAGAAATGACAGCATGATACAGACTTTTGAAATTACGATTCGCTAGAAGTTCCAGGTGGTGAGGAAATCAAGTGTTCAAAAAAGGAAAAGCAAAACTTGAATTCAGATCAAGTATTAGGTAGATTTCTCCATAGAAGCATGATAGCAGCTTTTTTTTTTTTTTTTTTTTAACTTTGGTCATTCAACATTCAAATACTTATTTCCTTTTCCATAGCATCAGATACCAACTTTCAAATTGATGAGCCGCCTTCTGTCATTATTTCTGAATGTTCCAGTATAATCTTCTCCATCTGGACATTTTTAAAGATCACAGCTTTCGATGTGGCTCTGTGTTGTTCATCAAATGGCAGGATTCACACAGGGGACTGGCTGTCCAGGCTGTTCTCTGCCTGAATGTGGCTCTGAAGAGCCTCATTACAGAATTTCATTTGTTTTAACTCTTATTTTTTTATAGGAAGTACTTGAGGATCTCCTTAGTACACTAAAAGGAAAAAGCCTAGAAATTTTTTTGTGGGGGGCAGGTAACTAGGGATTGATCCCAGGGGTGTTTTACCACTGAGTCATATTCCCAGCCCATTTTACCTTTTATTTTGAGACAGGGTCTCACTAAGTTGCATAGAGCCTTGTTAAATTGCTGAGGTTGTCCTCTAACTTGCAGTCCACCTACTTTATCCTCCCAAATTGCTGGAATTACAGACCTGTGCCACCCATCTGGCGTAGAGAATTTTTATGACAACAGACATCTCTTTGCTAAACAAATCTCATCTTGAACAAACCAACTTCTCCCAGTAGTATGTTGATTAGAAATTTATTATTCCTAAGTCATTGATACAACCTTCAGTGAAAACAGTATTTATGATAAGCTGATAAATTTTGTTTTTTTTTTCTCTTCTTGTCACAAGTCAAAATGATGTTTTGTGATATACAATCCAATACTTCAGAAACTATAAAATAAATCTACATTTGTATTTAAAAAAAAAAAACAAAAAACCTCTACCAGACTCCTACCATGCTATTTAGATTAGCTTTCATTCTCTTTCCTTCTTTTTCTTTGATTCCTGAGGACATTATGCATGAGCATGCAGGGAGTAGTTCTTAATTACAGAGGATCGGATACAATTAAAGACCATAAAATTTTATAATAATAAAGGCCAAAGCTTATTTCACTACTGATCTAAAACCTTTTTTGAAAAAAAAAAGATTTTATAATTCCAAATTAATTGATTATACTTGAGAAGGAAATACAATTAACCACGCAGTCATTTCAGTGTAAATTTTAATTTGACAGTGAAAAATAAGGAACACTTGGACAATTAATTTATATATTTATAAAAATTTTCCCCTGAATTGAAATTAGCTTCCCATATAGATATATTTTATTAAGTCAAATATTGTTCTGTAGATTTTTTTTGGGGGGGGGAGGTACTGGGAACTGAACCCAGGCACTTAACCACTGAGCCATGCCCGGTCCTTTTTATTTTTTAATTTTGAAACAGGGTCTTAGTAACTTGCTTAGACCCTCACTAAACTACTGAGGCTGGTCTTGAAGTTGAAATCCTCCTGTTTTAGGCTCTTGAGTTGCTGGGATTATAAGTCTGTATCACCACACCAGGCAGTTATATAGCTATTTTTGTTGGTGTAGTTGTGGTTACTTTGTGGGTTGTAGGGATGTTCGAACTCAAGGGCACTCACCACAAGCCACATCCCCAGCCCTATTTTGTGTTTTATTTAGAGACAGGGTCTCAGTGAGTTGCTTAGCATCCCACTCTTTCTGAAGCTGGCTTTAAAGTCCTGATTTTCCTGCCTCAGCCTCCTGAGCCTCTGGGATTACAAGTGTGTACCATTGTGCCTGACATATTTCTATAGCTTGTTACATAGTTTGTAATAATGGGAGATTGACTGGGAATGGAAATTGGGAAGTAAATCTAAAATATAACAAACAGGAAATATACTGTCATTTATAATCTATCAAATATAAACAAACTATATCTTTAAAATACTACTAATAAACGATGATTGCTCTAAGTTTTTATTAATAAGCATATCTAATAATAATAAGTACCAGTTAAGTCACCTACCAGATTTGCAATGATGTAGTGGTACCCTTTAACATGTTTCCCAATGGTAATAACCTAATAAAGGTAAAGAGACAATTATTTAATAAAAGCAAATGATATAAATGTAAGACTACTGATATTATGATCTAATTTAGGGGAAAAAAAGGAAATTTTATCTGCTATGGTTTTTTAAATAATATTTATAATAAATCATCAAGTAATCTATGATAAAATATAATCATCAAATCTAGACACTATTTCTCTTAGAAAACAGTAATAATAAATTTTAGTGCTTAATAACTGTTATCTTTTACAAAGTCAATCACTGAACCATAATAACTATCCCTTTTTTGTCAATAAAAAAATAAGCACACAAAGTCCTTAAGAAGGTTAAAGATACATAAAATCAAAATATATTTAATTCATGAGTCATAATTTCATTCCTACAAAAGTTACACCCTTGTTATTTTAGTAAAAGATTAAACACTTGAAATCGACACCTGAGATTTTATATTCACAGATCTACATTCAAATATAAACACAAATAAAGTTTCTAGAATTACATAAATTTAAGAATATTGGTGAACAAATAAAAATATTTCTTCATGATAAAATAATACTGCTATACTAAGGATCTTGAAATGTTGACAGCTTAGTTCAAATGGACATCATTTCTAGGTTTAGACAGCCAAGTATCAGAAAAACTAATTTTTTTTTCTCTAAAATTGTCAAGCATATCACGGAAGAAGTGGTCACCCTGGTAATAACACTCTCAATAGTTTTGGACATTATTGAATCAGTTTTAGTTTTCATTGACCTATGTCAGTTATAAAGAGATTAGGTACCTTTGAAATGTCTGTGCCATTGTACTGGTACATAGTCACAGTTAATCCTCAACCTGCAATGGACTTATGTCCTGATAAATCCACTGTAATATGAAGATATCTGAAGTCAAGCATGAATGGAATACACCTAACAAACATTAGAGTATGGGGTGTTGCCACTTAGGATGACATGATAGACTGAGAGCTCTGCCTCATTGCCACCCCAGCATCACAAGAGAATATCACATGCATGTTGCTAGCCCAGGAAAAGACTAACATTCAAAATTCAAAGTAGAGCTTTACTGAATGCATATGGCTTTCTCATTCCACCATAAAGCTAAAAAAAATTCATAAATTAAACTACCCTAAATCCAAGGTCATCTGCATTCAAATGAAATTTCTATTTGTAAGAAAATGATCACACCAATGGAATGTATGAAATGCCAAGTCTGTAGACAGGAATTCAAACCATTAGCTCACTTTCTTGATTAAACTGATTTGGTGGTTTCCCTTGTTTTAGCATAATAAGCATAAATTTTTTAATGTGCTTTAAATTCCAAAGATCTTGTGACCTTCTTCAAACCTACTTTTTCCATTCTCCATTCTCACATGGCTATCTTTTAGTTTTTTTGCACACAAAAGCCTTTTCCCCATCACTTCAGACAATGCACAGTGGATCTCAGCCTAATCATCACACCTGCTGGGAGAGGAATTCCCTGACTTTCCATCAACCCAGACCAAGCCAGGTGCTCCAAAGCTGCACACTTACACACCACCAACAAAACTCCTGGGAAGGATTCTACCATATGCCACTTGGATAGGAAGTGTTAGCTGTTCAAAAGAAAGTTAGAGATTTTATTGTTTTCTAACCCGTTTTTTAGGCAACATAACTCAGTTGCCTTTCCCAAGAAACTTAACCTTCTATGTTGAAGAGAGAATTTTGAAGAAAAGATGTCCTGAATGAAAAATATGTAAACTGACATCAGTTTAATGAAGATGATTGTGTCCTTTACATATCTTAAGGACATCTGTTGGCTTTGTTTACTGTACATTCTACTTTCTAAAGCATCTATGTCTTCCTTCTGAGAATTAAGATAAACAGTAAAACAGCGATCCCAGCCTCCTTACTTGAGTTTAGTGTACATTGTGAGAAGAAAAGGGGACATGAAAATTCACTAGTTCATGTCTATATAAAAATTAGTGCTGACCATACTGATTTTTGTAACTTTCCTTTATAATAACGCGTAATGTTATACCAACAATAGAAATTTGTGTTAATTTCTAAATTTTTTGATGACTAGATCCTTTGCTACCTAATCACATCTATAAATGCCTTCAAAGTCTCAATAAATGATAGTAATATACATTATTGAATACAGTTTAATTCTACTGCTAACTTTAAACCATCGTGAAGATAAAGAGCTTCGTCTCATTTCTGTTCTTTTTTACCTGCTAGTTGAATGAATAAATAGCATTTCCCTTTCTTAAAATGTACTTTATCCCTACTTTTTGCCTAGTCAACTCTACTCCTTGACGTATATCCAAATCTAACTTTTTTTTCTCAGAAGGTTCTGTTCTTTTCATTTGTAGTATATTCCATTCCTATAATTCTATGTTAATTTCTGATACAGTATTAATGTATTTCAGTAGAGCTGGCCTATTTTGTTTTCCACTGCTGTTCTGGACACACCGCAGTGCTTGTCTGACAAACATTAGCCAACAGAGATATCTATTTGACAAATAAATGGGTGAATCTAATCCAGCCAAATGCTACCTTCTAAGTGAACACTTCACAGATTATTCTTTCCCTGGAAAGATAGGTACTTCATCCTCCGTGTTCCTTGACTTCTGCTCACTGCTTTAGTTTAGATTTTAAATTTCCCCAAAGGCCTGTGTCTTAAAGTCTGGGTCTTCCACTTAGCATTATTATAAGCAGAAACCTTTAAGAGATGGGCATGGTGAAAGGTCTTTAAGTCATTGAGAGCATGCCCTCCATGGGGATTGTGAAAGTCTGGTCTCCTCCTAACACACACACACACACACACACACACACACACACACACACACACACACTCTCTCTCTCTCTCTCTCTCTCTCTCTCTCTCTCTGTTGTTGTTGTTGTTGTTTGGGTTTCATAGTCACCATGGGGTGAGCATACCACAACATACCACCATGATGAACTATTCCTCACCGGAGACCTGAAAGCAGTGGGTTAGCCAACCACAGATTGAAAAATGTTAGACAAAATAAACCTTTCCCTCTGATTAATCTCAGGGGGTTTTTGTTGTTGTTTGTTTTTTTGTTTTTTTGTATCAGTGATTTAATCCAGCAGCATTTTATTCACTGAAATACATCCCCAGACCTTTTTATTTAGAGTCAGGGTCTCACTAAGTTGCTTAGTGCCTTGCTAACTTGCTAAAGCTAGTCTCAAACTTTTAATCCTCCTGTCTCAACCTCCCAAGCCTCTGGGCCTACGGGCATAAGATACAGTGCCCAGAGATATATTTAATCTAGCAATGGAAAGCTAACACAACCACTTTGCATTATAATTTGTGATACTATAATGTTGTAGGGGTACATTTTTTCTTCCCCTCTAAATAATATTCATAGGGGACAGATGCCATTCTAGCTTGTCTTTATTAGGATCCTTCACTCTGGACAGAGGATGTCCTCAATATAAATGTTTCTTGAATGATACTACCAAGTATATGCACTCATTAAATAAATTAAACATTAATACATATACATGCAAAACACTCTGCTTTTTGAATCGATGTCAATACCAGTGATCATATATTTACTTCAAAACATAGTTTTTCATATGGTCCCACTTTCTTTTGCAGTTTCACTCTTCTGATTCTGAATATTTTTATATATATGCTTTCACCAACATTTATTATGATGAGTCAGGAATAATTAAACTTGTTTAACCAGGCTAGTGAATATTATTAAAATTCAGTTTTAATGAGAACCTCCTCTGAAATTCAAATGAGATTTTGAGGTTCACATTGAACAAGAGACCTTCAGGTTAAAAACAATCCTAACTTCATCTCCTGAGACTAGAACCAAGATTTTTGTATTGAAGTTACTCATCTTTCTGGGGTACAACATTTAGTTCTTTATCATAACAAGTTAGTTTTATTATTCAATATTTCATGATGGTTTCACCTTTTATGTTTTAAGGTCTGTATTATAAATCAGTTAGAGCTTCATCGACATGTATGCTTGTAAAATGTTTTCCATTGAATGAATTAATAAATATAACTAGATGGGCCAAGAAAGATGTTCTCAACTGTGAATTTTCTTTCCAATCATACATACTTCCAAGGAACACACATGTGTGCTTGTGTGTGTGTGTGTGTGTTTGTGTGTGTGTGTGTGTGTGTGTGTGTGTGTGTGAGAGAGAGAGAGAGAGAGAGAGAGAGAGAGAGAGAGCGAGCACGTTAGGACAAGACACAGATAACCATCCAAGGAAATTTTTTATCAATAAATCATAATACATCCCTGGTCTTTTATCTTGTCTTTAAAACATGATGGATATTATTTTTCATCATTAGAATATCACTGATCATTGTCCTATTCTTAAAGATCTTAAATAGAAGCAGGGTAATATGGTAAGGACAGATAAAAATATCCTATCTCTGGTATCTTGTTATTCTTTCAAACAGTCCAAATGGATACTTGTAATTTACTTCTCAAGTACTGAACACCTTTGAATGCCTTTCCTTCATATTTTAACTTCAGAGATTACAGTTTTTTATAGTGACACAAATCCCCTAATATAGAGACAAAATTACTTCTTACAAAAATAAATGCACACTCTTTCTAGAGCTATAGATCCAGTTAGACAATAATATGGACTTACTACCTGAGATTACACCATCCTGTACTCTAATATTTGAAATAATCCATGTGTCTCCAAAATATTCACTTGCTTTTACTCTAGAATTCAAATATTATTTTGACTTTAAAACATATCTATTTCTTGATCTCTAAAAACTTTTAACAGAATGGAATTCAAATTTTCTAACTCAAAATATCAAGGTTTAAGGCAATACTTATCATGTAAAACATAACTCTGGAAATATGCGCTGAATTTATTTAGTGATTAATATGATCCATCTGCGTTATTAAAACCATCTGTTAATGTTAACTGAAGCCAGATATAATTTAATTGATGATCTTTGCTACATCCTACATAAACCATAAAGTGAAAACCGCTGTTCAAGCACCTAGCACAAATGCTCTTTGCAAACGCTGACGTTGCATGCATATTCTATATTTGGTGCCATTAGACAACAGAGAGGAGCAAACCTGGTCTACGATATCGTTCACTTTATCCCGTTCGCAGTCGAGGATTACACGCCGTTCTTTTTTTAACTCCAGATCTTGAAAGAGTGATCGGTAGGTCTCATCTTTCTTGTCATTGTTGATGTTCCCCACGTTGATAGCAGTCACTTGCCATTTCTTTTCAGCAGCAGAATCCAGCACAGCTTGCAGTGTGGATAAGCCTGGGAAGGCAAAGGAAAATGATGACTGATGAAAATACGTGAATAACTCAGAACTGGGCTGCCACATTGCCAGTGCCTACATTTGTTAAGACTGATTTATTTGTAAAACTAAGGAGAACCTGATGCCTCAAAAATATGCTATGGCTGTGATTTTTATCAATACCTACATATGTCTGCTTCACATTAGGAAAAAAAAAAACAAAACTCATTACTTAAATGCTATTGTTCTGCCCAAAAGGAGGGGAAAATAATATCACTTTCTTGGGGTTGGGATATGGCTCAAGCAGTAGCGCTCTCGCCTGGCATGCGCAGGGCTCTGGATTGGATCCTCAGCACCACATAAAAATAAAATAAAAATGTTGTGTCCACCAAAAACTAAAAAATAAATATTAAAAAATTATCTCTCTTCCTCTTAAAAAATAATAATATCACTTCCTTTGAATCCTCTCTGCTGTTTTCTTTGGGATAAGACTAAAGTTAATGTCTTTAATATCTCTGAAGTAAGTGAAATCTAAAGACATCACAACATTTCTTACTCTTACAAAAGAGTAAAAAATGACTTAGTCATATACAATTGTCTATCATTTGATATTAACATTCTGGAAGGGTTGTATACGTTTCCATGAGATGAATCTCTATGAATCAATGGGAGTGAAAGAGCCAATAATGTCTATGGGTTGTGATATTTCTTCCTATTGACTCCTGGTCAACAGTTTTATTGCCTTTCTTTTCCCTTTGGCCTTCTATTATATTACTTTTTGTTAGTGGCTCTGATCCCATAGAGATTAAAATGTTCACCTACTAATGAGACGTTTGCAATTAGTTCTCTATTACAGACTGATCTCACTTCCTAAATATAAGACTATTTTACTACTTACTAATGATTTTAGCACTATATGACTTAGAAAATTTTTACTATTATTTCTAATTATCAACATAGTGTAGGTAGGAAGAAGTCAACAACTAGGGGATTTACTTCCTGAAGAGCTAAATCTGCAGTTTTGTCCTGGAAAAAAATACATAAAAAACTTGTTTTCCATATCACATCAACTTTTCACAATAAAGCCAAGTTCACAATTTACATTAATAACTTAAGGAACAACACAAAGTCAACATTCCAGGAGAAATTCAGAAATCCACATATCAATTCCTTCTGTTTCCAGGAAGGTCCACACATTTCTCAAAAGAATACTGATCCCTTTTTATCTATAAAATGTGAGATTTGCCTAATTTGATCATATCTCTCTATAATAATTGGTTCCAATTCATCTACAGCCTATATTTAAATCCTCAATTTTACATAAATCCCCTCACCAAGAGGAGAAATACAACAATTACAAATCTTGTCAAACACTAACCAATCTAAATAAAAAAAAATTTATGGACACAAAATTGTCCATAGAGTATAAAAAATGAGCCTGAAATATCTTGTGATATCGGAAAACAAGCACATCCTCCAAAAGAGAACTATATCAAAAGACAAAGAGTCATTTGAAGAGAACCTTTTTAAAAGATAGAATAATTTGAATATCAGTTAAATGTTTTAAATCTATAAAATCGAGATTTTAAAATAATTTGTTCAAAAATTTTCTTTTGCCTTTGATGGATTGGAACCAATTATTTCTGAAATTGACAAATATAGAAGTAAAAAAGTGTTTTCCTTTCTTTCCTATGTGAGCTACACTCAGGATAATAATGAGTCAAAGATTATTCATTTTAGAACCACTCTAGGTAATGCATGATGGACAAATATAGATTTAGAATTATTACTATTTTGTAACACCTACTGAAACCAATATAGGCAGCAATCATCAACTGCTCTTCACAACACAAAAAGAAAGGTGACAATGGATATGAGTCTTTAAATGGTTACAGTCAATATGATCTGTGATACATTCCTGCTCAAAATGTAAACCTGAACCTCATCAAGCTTCTATTACCAAATGTTAGGAAATACCTGTCAAAGAGTGGCATGTTAACACCAGGGTATAGCTATCAAAGTCAACACTATGGGCAATGCTACATGACATTATAAAACTCTGACAAGACATCTTAACCAATGGTAATATATGGAACTCATTTTGATCTTATTGAATAAACAGTTAAAAATGATAACATTAATGATTTTTTTCAAGTATGATAGTGATACTGTAGTTGTGTTTAAAATAAGAGAATTATTCTTTTATAAATAGATAACCAAAATATTTACAGATGAAAGAATATGATAGCTGGCATTTCTTTCTTTTTTTTCTTTTAATTAATTGGTTAATTAATTAATCAATTAATTTATGGTGCTGAGGACTAAACTCAGGTATAGTTTCACTCAGCTACATCTCCAGTCCTTTTTATTTTTCATTTTGAGGATCCTGGTAAGTTGCTAAGTTGCTGAGGCTGTCCTGAATTCTCCAACCTCAGCCTCCTGGATCTCTGGGATTGCAGGCATGTATCACCACACTGGGAGTGGTATTTGTTTCTAAATCACTACAGAAAGCAGAAGGATATGATAGATAAAACAAAATTGCTTATATTTTATTCACTAATAAAAATAACTTAAGAATGTTTGGGGGTCTTTCTATGATTTTATTTCATAATTTAAAATACTTCATAATGAACATTAAAAATGATTTACTTTTATTTCAAATTGGACAATTGAACCAGATGCTAAACTTTCTTTAAGTTTGATTTTATTTTGCTAAAACAGCAAAATTATTTTCTTGCAGATAATCTTGTAACAGAAGAAATAAATATTAATTTCTTGAGAGATTACTTAAAGAGACCACATGCCATTTTTAAGAACTTTCACTGGTAAAACTTTAGAATATATCCGAGTATGCCTATGCCTATAATTTCTGCCTGCTCTCCATAAATTAACTTCTTTCAAGCTAAAATTCAAGTTCCTTCCCTGTTTTCCATCATCAGTGGAGAAAGAATATGCACAGCTGGTCATCATATCAATTCAACAACTATTAGCGTGCTTGAAAACAGCTGTTAAATTGATCCAACATTCTCTTCCAGTAGGAGGGGAAAAAAAAAACCTGAATTTCTAAACCTCCTACATTCTCTAAGTCCTACTTTCCACATCTAATCATCCATCCTACAATTCCTCCTTGTCACCTTCTTAAAAACATTAAATCTAGAAGTAATGATCTATATAAAATTCACTTTTTATCATATAGCAATTTAGTGACTCTCCTTTATGCAATAAGTTATTTCATTTTGTTTTTTTAGTTATTTCATTTTGTTTTCATTGAATTATGAAGTTCTCCACATACTAAAAATTTCCAGCAGTGATGCACTTGATATTCTTTTGCATCTCTTGACAGATACTACAAGAAAATTTAAATTTAAATCCATTTATCAATTTGTGAGTGGTTTCATCAAGAGATAATTTTCAACCTTAAATGTATTGGCAGTTCACCCTGTCAAAGAATATGGAGGTGATATATAAAATGGAAAAGAATACATTTTTTAAAAATGTCTAACTTTCAAACTCATTCATCTTATGTGCCAACAGTAACTTGCAGTCTATGTAGATTCTCCATTATTAAAAAAATTAAGGTTAATATTCTGAAACCTGTGGAACCCAACCAAAATTATATCTATTTATTAAGGACCTAAATTGTTCAAGCAGTACTATATTAGATTTGATAGATTTGGTTTAGTCAGAAGACACTGAATAAAATTAAATCACCTCCTAAGAGCAGCCACAAGTCATTCACAACTCATGGAGTGATCTGAAGTACAAGTTGAAGAGACATTCTTCTTTGTATAGTAACCCATTTTCTTTGCAGTCATAGTATCGGAGTAAATCCTCTCTACTCAATCTCCCCATTCTTCACAGCTAAGTTTTGTTTTAAATCTGATTTCTTCATAGTTAATAGATGATTTTAAAATGTAAATATAACCAAACATGTATAACGGTACAGGTAAAACTAAACTCTTTACACAAATTCATGCTCTTGGTTTCTGGGAACTATGTGCCTCTTTATCATCCACACAAACTAAGACAGAATATCTTTATAAGAATAATTCCTAATTCAGAATTTGTTTCTAAATCACTGCAGAAAGCAGAACTTGTATGGACAATGGAAGTTCTACATAAATGTTGGTTTACTTAAAGCTATTAGGAAGTACTAATCAGTCAAATCTAATATTCATGCTACTGTATCAGCATATTCAAATTTCTGATTTCTTATTTCTGAATTACTTTGAACAAAGAAAACTGTTGATATACACAGCCATTAGAAACACACCTGGGGAATTAATTATTTCTCTTAATAAATATATTTAAAATATATTATGTTCTAAAACAGTTCAAGAATATTATGAATATAAAATTAAATTCTCAGTATTATTGAATTCTCAGACACTTGGCTAAAGTAAAGAATGGCTAGACTAAAAGATTTTTAAATTGCAGTAATTTTTCATATACCTATTGTTACTAATGTGCTTTAACTGTATAACCTAGTCATCAGTTGACAATCTCCCTAAAATTCAAATGAAATTTCATCTAGACCTAGTATTAAAAACAATGAGAGGGGATAAAAAAATGTGGCATATATACACAATGGAATATTACTCAGCAATAAAAGAGAGTAAAATCATGGTTTTACAGGTAAATGGATGGAGTCAGAGAAGATAATGCTAAGTGAGATCGGCCAATCCCAAAATACCAAATAGGGAATATGTTCTCTGATGTAAGAAGGCTGATTCATAGTGGGGTAGAGAGAGGGAGCATGGGAGGAATAGATGAATTCTAGATAGGGCAGAGGGGTAGACGGGGAAGGGAGAGGACATGGGGTTACAAATGATGGTGGAATGCGATGGACATATTATTATCCAAAGTACATGTATGAAGACACGAATTGGTGTGAATATACTTTGTATACAACCAAAGAGATGAAAAATTGTGCTCTATATGTGTAATAAGAATTGTAATGCATTCTGCTGTCATATATAAATTAAAACAAATTAATTAAAGAAAACAATGAGAGAAAGAGAGTGATAGAAAAACCATTAGCCTAAAAGCAAGTGAAGTCTAGACATCTTTGTTTATACATTAAAGGGTGAAATTTAAAATGATTCCTGCCAACAGGTATATTTCATTCAGACCACGTCTTTGTTCTTAAAAATATTTTTTTTGTTCCATTTAAAATTCACTGTCCTTATTCAGTCTTTCAGGCAAAGCAGTTAATATTTATGATCACTAAATCATGGCAGCATGCCTAGGCCAGATTAGATTAACATATATTTCCCTCATCAGCTTTCTCAGGCACATCAGAAAAAAAAATTATTTTGAAAGCGTTTTTGCCGTTTGCATGATGTTGTCTTGGAACTGGAATCAAAGAGCTTTCCCTTCAGGGGACAAGTAATATTTGCTCCAAATTGAAACAGACAAAAAGATATCAAGCATTAGTTCTGTTTTTATGTGTTGTCCATGGAGATGTATTACCTTACCTGGTCAATATTGAACAAATAAATAAAAGCCACATTTTGATTAAGGCCTGATTTATATATAATACCTATATATTCAAAGACTAAAACTACAATATTTAATGCATTACAGAGGTAACCTATTGTTCTATAGTTAAAAATGTACTGAAGCTCTATCTGCCCACAAGTAATAATATCCAGCTCTTAGAAAAGGGTCTGAATCCTCAGAGTGCCAGGCTACTGCTATATGGTTAGATAAAGAAAAGACAGCAGGAATCTTAAAAATTTCCCTGGCATCAAGTTGCCAGGTACAGTCCTGTCACCAGTGAATTTGAGATTAGATGAAGATGTTTCTACACAAAGATCAGGATGCATCCATGTCTTTCCATGATTGTAATTGGGATCTAAGCTCTGGACCTGTTGCTCAGCATTGGATGTATTCAGACACAGGAATGAAATAGCATAAAGCAATTTTAAGTCCTTTTCATCTATTTGATAATCTGAGCAAAATGTTTTTGAGCCGTTTTCATGATTGGCCCCTGTATTGTTCAAGAAAACATTAATTTATTAGATAGTATAATTCAACAGCATATTGACCTGACCTACTCCTTCAGAAAAGTAAAGATTATTAGAACACTGAACAAAATAATCTAATCAAGGAAGTAGAGAGGGTACCACACCAAGGACAGATCGAATAGTTGGATATTGTGGTAGGTAGAGATCTCAGTGCAGAGATGGAGCCATGGAATCTATTTTTAAAAGTATGACTAATATGGACAAAGGGAAAAGAGGATGCACTTTTTCATTTCCAAATCATGGAACAATGAAGCAAGAAAGTCCTTGAAGCATCAAAGAAGGGTTAAGGGCCAGAGGAAAGAAAGCAGCTCACATGATGAACGCAGAAATCATTTTTTTTTAGATATAATATAATGCCGAAGTCATAAAATTTAAGTCATTAATAAGAAAAATCAGAGATCAATAATCCCATTTCCATAACTCAAGTAAAACATCACACAAAGGTCAAATCTTCTGCTAGTACTTTGAGAGTCTTGTACATTTATCTCTGAAAATAATTTCAGATAAAAGACCAATGTAATACTCTTCACATTAAAACATCAGGAGCTACTTGATAATACCTTGAAAATGTATCCATAAGGTCATTTTGGCTTTAATATATAATTACTTAATATTATCCCTCTAATGTTCTTCCCTCAAAGATGCACTTGACTCAAATCAATTTGTATAATTTAATAATTGGAGATTATCTCACCACTCCAATCCATTTAATATTTCTAAAGCATTAATAAAAATCATTTAAAATGTCCCAGATTCTCTCTGCAAGTACATAAGTTCATCTGTCTTCACCTCTCAATTCCCCAATGCTTGTCTATCTCCCTTCAAATGCTAAAATTTCTCTTTTTCTACTTTTGTCAACTGTTGTCTATTTGAATGTTTTCCAAAAGATCAGTTTTATCCAGTAAGAGTAATAGTAAGGGTGATGATAAAATATGTTCCCAAATTAAAAATGCCATCTTTAACCTTGTCAAATACTAAAAAGGAGCTCATCTTCTGAGTCTTCAACTTAGTAAGATTCAGCTTCTCATATCATCTCGAATCAAAAATACATAGTTGTTTAACTCTTCCGTTCATGACCACTGCTCACTGAACATCAACTCTGCTTCTAGCCCTACCTGAAGTGCTGGGTATCTAGTTATAAAGTATATACCCAGGGCTCTGGGCACTGCCTGGACATTGCCCTCCTGCAGCTTATAGCCAGATCTTATGTGAAAAACAGTGCTAACTAAGCCCATGTGACTAAATCAGTCACACTGGGACATAGCACTCCTGGGATATAGCAGGAGCTCAATAAGTAGTTCTTGAGTGATAGAATCAACACCACTATTAATTATGAATTATGACAAGTCCTGGGAAGTAAAATAAGACATTGATTTGAGAGAGAACAACAGCATGAAAAGCATCTCAGAGGGAATGATATATAAGCCCAGACATCAAGAAGGAATAAAAATTTGAGGTATGTGCGGACATTTGAGGTGAAAGAGTTTGGTCCATCTGAGAAATTAAAGGAAGGTCAAATGGATTTAGCTTCCGTGAATGAGCAAAGCAGACAGCAGAATACATTGGAGAACTGGGCATGATCCAGGTATTTTCAAGTCTTAAAACCATGCTAGGAATTTTGATTTCTTCCTCCTTCTGATGTGAAGCTATCAGAGTGTTCTAAACAAGGGAGTGATGTTGTCAAATAAATATTTAATAAATAATTCTGTATGTTTTGTAGAAAATGTACTCAAGAACGTCAAGGGTGGAATTGGAGAGGCAAGATGATGAACACCTGGTGGTGTTTTGGCCTATGTGGAAGGCAATAGAAAAGAAGGGTCTAGAGCTAAAATAGACATAAGTAGCAGAAATCACATTAGCAGAACACAAAGGTCAAAAGACATTTAAAATACACCCAGGTTTCAGGCTGGTTTTAAAAAAATCAATGCAATAAAGGAGTTAGCAGAGAGCAAGATGAAAGACTAAATATAATTTAATAAGCTCAATTTTATCATATTAATAAGAAGTATGTTTCAGAATCACTCAGCGCATTGAAATCTGTATTTACTCTAAATGGTTCTGTTTTAGTTTTTCATTCCCTGTGGAAAGAATGAAGCACTTCCTCCTCAAGGCTGGGAAAAAGTTGTTGACATAGCACAAAAAGAATTTTTTTTTTCAGCTTGTAGAATGCTGACTGGCTTTTTTAGTGAATGTGCTCATCCCCAAGGCTAGAAGGACAGGGCAGAGAACCAACACCTGGCATGAGCACTCTGACTCAGGATTGCTGCTGTGAATGACTACAGACTGATCAATGGAGAATTGACTGATGGCTGGCTCTCTTCTTGCCTGCCCTTGCGGGTAACAAGGTGCCCTATCTTGGTTGAAACAGGCTTCTGGTTTTCATTTAAATAAGTAAGAAACTGCCAAAGGAGGCATGATGAGGTACTTAACTACTCTAACAACTGAAGGGAGTATCTTAACCTTTTTGCCTTTACCTATGATTTTCTCTCTAGAGGACACATATATGAAAAGTCACACAAAATGTTATGGGATGCACAGACCCACTGATGCCCAATCATGGACCCAAGGGATGGTTAAGAACATTTGGGCATCTGTTAAATGCAAGTCAAGCAGGAATGCTAATATTAAACTTCACAACAAGCAATATGGGAAACAGGGGTGAAACACTTCCCTAGACAAACTTCAGTATAATGAGTTAAGACTGGCATGCTAATCAAAAACATCTCATTATAAACATTCACGTGGAGTTTTGTAAAAAAAAAAAAAATTGGGGGCCTGATCATAGAGAACCTATGTTTGAGCTATACCACACACATAGGTTGATGATAAGCAACCCCATAACTTCTCTGAGATTTAGTGATCTTACTTTTATGCAAGGGAAGTAATAATACTACCTGACTGATAAACATTTGTGTATGAATACCTAATGACTATAAAAGTTCTTATTTCATATATTTACATAAATTTTACTTAAGCCACTTAATTCTCCTTGGATTAGTAACATAGTCATTATAGAGTCTTTGCTCCTGGTGCCAGAAATTGCTTTTTATGTTACAACTGAACATCTGGGCCTTGGGTTGATGTAGTTCATTTCTGTAAATTCTGGATTCATTTCTTCTGTTGTTTAACAGAGTGCTTACCTATGTTTCCCAGATTTCAGATTGCATTGTTCATGTTATACAAAATTAAGCCTAGTGGTTCTTGGGCTTTAAGATACTTTCATAGTTCTATAACATCACATCTAAGTGTCAAGGGCAAAATGTTGAATGTGACCTATCACAAAGAGAGAGATATTATCACTTACCCCTGTCACTGTCATAGAGGTATGCAAACTTGTCCCATTGATAGTATTCAATCAAGCTAAGGAGTGCTCCTTTGAGGTCAGGTCTCATCTGAATGACAAATGGATGTGTGCCATCTGTTGGGAAGCTGGGAGTGATGAAGGAGACATGGAGCGTTCCACAAAACGATGTGATGGTGTTTACCGACTTCTTGTCGTAAAACCCAAAAATCGCATAGACTCCTCTTGAAAACTGGGAGCAGACTAGAAGAACAAGAAAAACAGAAAGGGTAAATCAATGCAATTATCATGCAACCTCCACAGATTTGGTTGAAACAAAGACAATCCAATATATAATATACAAAATCATTAACAGAGAAAAAGAAATATGGAGTTCATAGTCATGATTTGTGAAAATCAAACATTTATTAGCATTCTATTTGAGGAATTCAAGAATTAAGAAGCATAAAACATAATAATTCTGGCTACAAGGAAATATGTGATTGTTTAACAAGCTACAATATATGAGAATATTTTAGGACAGACACATAAAAATGTGCAAGTAGTAGCCATTAAATATAAGAACAAACCATAGTTAGCTAAGATTTACACAATTCAGAACAGCACATTCCTTATCAAATGTTTTTTTAGAAGGCCTCATTGTGTTTATGATGCTTTTATATTAGAAGGTCAGTGTGCTTCCGTAGAGTTCTAATGCTAACTAAGAGAAAGTGATGTCAGAGTCCCATGAAGAGGTGTATCACCAGAAAGGCATTTCTCGCTCACTGGTGACCCTCAGTCAAGTATCAAGTAAATAAATTTCAGAACTCCTAAATCTTCATCTTTCCAAGGAACTGATTTTACCCATTGGTTCCAAAACACATGAGACAAGGAATATTAACAAAATGATTTGGCTAAGAGACATGATTTTTAGCAAACCTGATAATATTGTATTTGAAAGTCCCCATTCCTTCTACAACCACCTTTTCTCTTCCAATATTACTATTCCAGTGGATAGTATATGACACTACTCTTCATCACAGTCCATGTCAGTCCATCACAAAGTCCTGCTCACCATAATACCTGAACATACTCAGATGGGGTCCATTTACAGTTCCACTCACTCTGACGATCCTGATTCACTAACAGATATACTTACATGTGTTTGCTATGTGCCTGGCAGATTCTATGAACTCATTTCTTTCTCACGATATCCTTTGAGGTAGAAACTGTTATTATTCCCAAATTACCAATGGGAAAATTGACAAAAAGATAAAATTACATACCTAAGTCACACAGCTACTAAGGGACAGATAGGGCATTCATGTCTAGGCACTCTGAATTCAGAATCCACACTCTTAATTAACACTGTTTCTTTTTTCTTAACCTCAGTTAGTGGAATATCTACCCCACTATTTTCTCTCCTGCACTTATGGTCAGAAGTCAATTCAGTTCTCCACAATATAATCAGAATGATCTTTTGAAATATAAATTTGCATATCTCTCTCTGAGAATTAAGAGTCACTTTGTCCAAAACTGATTTCTGTAATGCTCTATAAAAACTATCTTTAGCAGAGTCCTAAGGCCATTAGTCCAGGTCTATCAGATGGCTTCAAATGAATGAAAAGCTGGTATTTTTCAATCTCAGGGGTCTTTTCAACCCTAGAAATGGAAATCAGTCATCTAGTAATAAAACCTAATATCCCAGAATATAATGCCAAGCGTATTTCTAAATTAATTAACCTCATTTAAAGGATAAAGCGTACCATTTTATTTTACTTTATTTCCTTCACAAAAACAGTCTATAGAATAGATTTGTAAATAAGAACATTGCTAAAAAGATTTGCAGATTCTAATAAGCATTTCCAAACAATCAATAAATAGCAATCAATAATTTTTTGTAATTATTATATGATATGAAATGAAAAGAAAGCAAGATAAATTATTTCTTCAGGTTTTTCATTTGTTCCTTTGTTTGATACTATGTATTAAATCCAAGGTTGTTTTGCCACTGAGCTATATCTCCAGCGTCCTTTATTTTAATTTTGAAATAGGTTCTAACTATGTTGCTAAGGCTGGCTTTGAACTCAAGATCTTCTTATCTCAACCCCCTGAGTCATTGGGATTACACAAACGCACCACTGTGCCTCGTTAAATTAACTGTTTCTTTGAGTGACCCTTGCTTATAAAAGATTTCCATTTACCTTTAAATATTCAATTCACTTCTTTGTGTTTGTGTGGGTGGAGGACAGGGTGCTAGGGATTGAATCCTGATCAAGCTATGCAAGCTCTACCACTGAGCTATACTCCCCACCCTTTTATTTTCTTAGAATTTCTCTAAGTTACCCAGGCTGACTTAGAACCTGTAATACTTCTACCTCAACCTCCAGAATAGCTGGGATTACAGGTGTGCACCAACACAACCAGTTTCACTTATGTCTTTCTGGGATTTCTAAGTTACATCTGTGTAATACATCATTTGAAATCTCTTTTATCCCTAGTCTTTTGCACTGTAGACTAATATATCTCAGAAAGCAACTGAATGTATTGCTTTATATTTATTTTGTATCTTCACATAATGCCAAGGTGAGATTACTCTCTTTTATTTATATCCATGTTTTTTTGTTCTTATTTGGGTACAGATGTTGAAAATAACCTTTAATGTATTTGATGACTTAGTTCATTTGTCACATACATGAAAAGGATCTCCTATATTCATAACACTTCTGGATAAACTCTGCAGTGATTTTTTTATTTTATACATACAAAGATATGTATATCTGAAATCCTAAATCTGTTCACATTTTTGTTGAATCTTAAAGTGATAAAATATGACATATGAAAAGAGAGAATTGCTATAAAAGTCTCTCTGGGTCTCTTTTATTTCATTTCCTTCAAAGCACTGGCACATCACCCAGATACCAGAGGAATATCATGCAATATAATTTATTAGCTAAAAACTCTTCTCATCTTAAATGAAATAGCTTCTGTGATGGAAACGGCAGCCACAGCAGAATGCTTGATAAAGAATGTCACCATTTGAATACACAGACAACCTTAATAAGGAGTTATACCTTTCATTTTCCATTTGTTTTGGGGTCTGCTTTGGGTTGTCAAGGGACTTCTTGGTTATTACAACCATCTGGAAACACTGGCTTTAGCCCAACAACAACAAACCCATACTAAACTTCATAAGAAATTACAATTCATCCAACACAGCAATCACTTTTTTTCCCAGGCTATTCAGCCAATTCTCCAATGAACATTATTTACAACAATAGGCTTTCTCTCCTGAAAATCCTTGTATTCCCTCAACCTTCTCACTTTATCCTTGATCTCTTCATGGTATATACTCAGTTGTCTTTTTGCCCTATATCTTCTATTTTTCTGGATATTTTTCTCTTAATATCCCCTTTCTACACACTCACAATTAGCCACTTTGTCAATATTATCTATTCCCCTCTCTTTACTTAGGTCAATCATTGTCACTGACTCTAAGTATAAGAATGCCATTGAGATCTGCAAGGAGGAGTCAATCACAGTGTTCAACTGACCATCTGAAGATGAGAAAGTTCTATGATTCCAATACTCCATGCCCAAATGTCTAAAACTGTGTGCATTCAAATATTGATCTTTTCTCCAATAGATCCATGGATACAGGAGCTTATAAATATGTTGCACAAAGAAATTACTCGCGGTACTTTGCTATTACTTGATTAGAAAAGGAATTACATCTCTAAATTATCCCCTGCTAATGCCTTCAATACAGGAGGAAGGTTTACTATCACTGAGAATATACAAAACAAACTACCATAAACTCTGAAAACAATTGCAAAGATGAGTTTCCGAAATGAGTTAGACAATACCAGGATCCTATACATAGTCATTTCTATAGGCAGAAGAAGGAGCACAAAACCTCACAGTTTCACTCTTGGTTTTCTGACCCATACAATTACACTATCAAACACTATTATGTTTCTGAATGGTTGGGCTGATTAACATTAGAATTGCATTTATGACTTGAGACTCTAACCTGATTGCAAAAGAGTAGTGAAAGATGCTCTCATTGAGTTCTACTTGAATTAAATATTTAATATCAACTTTGAGAAACTCAGCAAAGGCGAGACCTTCTAAGAGACACTTCAGGTCAAACAGCAGAAATAATAATCTCCTGGGTGTAAGTAAGTTGCTGATTATTTCACTTTTTATTACAAGCCCAGATGATATAAGCCAATAACAATGCTGATAGTGCATCCACACTATCTTTTCCTCTTGAGTCCTGCTGCTCACTGGTGCTGCTAATGTACCATACAAGACACAGTTTGGAGAACTCTGCATGGTGATTTAGTAAAAGGGAGAAAAGCAGGGCAAGATTTATTTTTGTTTTACAGATTTTACAGTTGTAAATCGCCATTTATTTCAATGAAAGAACACAGGCTGCCTCATAAGCAGAAAAGGCATCATCCCCTTTGCAATTTGTAGAGTCTGGAAAAAGCTACATCACTGAGGAATACTGACCTCAAAATATGGACATGACAGCAAAGTGCTTTCCTCATTTCATCACTTAACTTCTGACATCATCACCTGTACTCTTTGACCTGATTTTACAGTTTACTTTCCTATTTATTAGTAATGATCTCCTAGTGATTAAACCCAATAATCTCTTTCTCAAATCTACCTTCCTCAACTTCTCTGAATTTATTAGTCTGAAATTTACTTCTAGATGTTCTTCTTCTTCTCACCACTAATAACCCTAATTCCTTTTTTCTTCTAATTCCTTTTCCACATTGCTGACAAGGAAAATCATGCCATCTTGGTCATTTTTTCTACTTCTGGTTATCTTTCACTGCCTTATGCTTTTCCTACATTTCTAACTTAAAATATATTCTCCAAGGTTTATCTTGCAATTGATTTCTCTTTTTACATTTTATTTCTTAGTGGTTTGATCCCTTTTCACAAAGTCAAATTCAACTTTTATGCCCACATTTCTTAAACCTTTATATCAGCTCTGCTGTCTCTTGCAACTATTTATTTACCAGGAAACTATGTACTGTAAATATTCTATGTGACAAGCATAGTGTTAATTTTAGAAAATGCCACAACAGGATAGATAAAGAGCATTTTTTTTTCTTGGAGTTGACAGCTGAGCTCCCATATTTCAACCCCATCCCCTGCCTCCTGTTGGAAAACTTCTGATTCCATATAATTCCATAAAAATAAGAAAAGAAAACCTAGATAATTTTATCCTGACAAACAACATCTTT